GCCTTTTGAAAGAAGATGAAGACATGGCTTTGCCTCCTGGCCTTGTGATGAGGTAGTGGTCGTGTGGAGCCCATAAAGTAACAATATTCTTAGTGAACTGACTGTGCTGTCCTTGCTGATTATATTTGTAAAGTTTTTATTGTTTTAATGTTTTGTGGTTTTTTGGGGGGCGGGGGGAGGCTCTGTGGTTTTTTTGCATTGTTCTTTGTGTTTTTAATTTTATAAGCCACCAAGTCACATATGTTAAATGGGTGGCTACATAAATTGAATGAATGTCTGGATGGATGGTGGATGGATGACACAAGTTCTGGAAATAGGATGTCACAACTCCAGTAAAGAACGGACCGGAGCCAAGACAGCCAGAATGTAATGCAACCATAGTCTTTTACTTGCCTTGTGTTACCACATGGACATCATGATGAATATTCTTCAAATAACTGACATCGGCTTCCTGACAAGGAGTGGTGCAATAATAATGATTCATGTCTGGATGTCAAGGGGGTGATGTTGTAATAATGATACAAGACAAATGGGAGTACATGGACTCATCGAGTAGGGGAAGTTGCAGTTACCATGTTTCTTTAATTTAAGGATGCTGGATGTTAGGCAGTGAAGGAGGCCAGAAGGTGGTTATAGTAATTATGTTGTTATCCAAAGTATAACATGTATAAATACAGCTCTGGGTTGCAACGAAACCCAGAGCTGACTTTAAACATAATTTGATCGTTGTTACCTGTTGTTCTGGTGTGGGAGATGAATAAAAAACTTCACTGAAGCTACACGAGTGAGTTGATATCTTATCGTTCACCCCCTCAACCTCGGACGAACAGCTGACATAGGAATTATACTCCATAGTACAACAAAAGTGATGAAATATAAAGAGAACAATAAACCGTCTAGAAAACAGATTAAATTCTGAATCAGACTATTGCCAAATCAGTATTGAGAGAGTCTAGACAAGATCATGTAAGACAAAAGAATTTAGCAAGATAGGATACTTAGGAAGCTTTTATCATCTTTTACGTAACTATCACCAGGGAATTGTGACTTTGAACCTGAACTTAAGAACAAAGTCAGAACGAAGATATTGACTACATCATGAGCAAGCTCTGCATTTCTAATTGCTTTAAACCTACATTAAAAGAGGGGAAAAGACAGAAGCAAATTTATTTTGAACTTTTCAGAAGTAGATTGCTTTGCCAATGGATCTCTAGATTGGTCAATTTAAAGTTTTTCTTCATAGATAAAGCCTTACTGGCAGATGTAATCTGCTTCTTGGTAATCTAATCAATGATGGACCCTTTACTGGTATTTCAAACAGATTATAACACATAAAAATAACACCATAACAGTTTTTATGAATCTTATTACAGGGCAAGTTGAAAACTTTAAACTAAGTTCCAGGTGTATGTCTTAAAGAAGATAATAGGTTCAGAATGCATTTGACCAAGAGTAATTTATGCAATACCATAGGAGCCAGCCAGTCTATAATCTGCAGGCATTAATTATTAAAACTAAGGATGTCCATTTCATTTAAAATGTGCAATGCATAGGAATACCCATAATGAAAACCATTGTTCAGGATTATGGAGTTCTTGCTAAAGTATATTACTCATACCCATTTACCCATTATAAACCCAGAACCATATCTAAGTAAATGATGTGTTGTAGCAGCATATTACATAAAATAAGAAAGAAAGTTCTGTTTTAACATATTATATCCTTACCATTAGAGAGCCAGTTTGGTACAGTGGTTTAAGCATCAGGCTAGAAACCAAGAGACCATGAGGTCTAGACCTTGGGCCACTTGTTTTCTCTCAGCCTTAGGAAGGAAGGCAAACCATTTCTGAAAAACCTTATCAAGAAATCTGCAGAAACTTGTCCAGGAAGTCTCTGAGAATTAGACATGATTGAACAGAAGGAAAAAAGAATCCATACCATGCCCTCAAATGACTTCATTTCTAGATAATTTTTCAAGTATCCAACATATCCCTGGTAGTTTTTTTATTCTAGGAAAAGTGCCAATAAATCTTGAACAGCACTTATTATTCAAAATCTTAGTTCTTTCCCCTAATTAAACCAAATTCTCACATGGACATGTGTCTCTGTAATTTTATGAGTTAATTTAAAAGTAAATATTTTTCCAAATTGCAGTTTAGCTTCTGGTGAATTAAAGTACATATCTATGAAACAAAAAAAATGTTAAAAAAGTTATGATATTTATAGAGTTACTTACTAAGCACATCTAAATTATATTAAAATATTCAAAATATCTTTACAATTCCCAAGGCATGTCACAACATTTGAGCACTCCTAATGTTTGGAAATTGAAATTTGAAAAATTTGACATGCCCTAAAATCTATGCAATTTTCTTGGCAACTAATCAAGAACACTTAGCAATGAAGATCAGCTGTGCTGCTACCTACATAGGCAGTCAGCTAATTTAGTAAAATCAAGGGAAATGTGTCATTTCATTAAGTGTTGTATCACCAGTAAGGTAATCAATACTCCAAAGAATGAAGAACTATCAAAACCAGCACTTAAACCTACATAGATTGAAAGCTAATAAAGTCAGTTAAGCAGTGTGTCAGTAGCCAGAAAAACCGATCCTAAATTGCATCAACAGAGGGATTTTTCAAAACAACAACAACATACCAGTCCTTATTACAAATGCATCCATCTTTTTCTAATTGTTACTCCAAAGACAATACCAAAGATAGATATTGACCCAACTATGTGGAGTATGCAGATATCTTTATTTATTTATTTAAAACATTTATATAGCTGCCCATCTTATACCAAGCTTATTATACCAAACCCTGGGCAGCTCCAAATCAAGAATTAAAATGACATAAAAATAGATTAAAACTATAAACACAAAATGCATTAAAAATAAAAACCCTGTGCCAAAGGGAGCTTCTGACATGCAGTCAACTCATTGCTTTTCAGAAGACTAAGATGGTAGTGGTCTGCCAAGCATCTGAGAAAGGAGTATTCCACAGGACAAAGGATGCCTCAGGAAAGGCATGCTCCCTAGTTTCCATAAGGTAGCAATGCTTAAGGGAAGCGACTAAGAGCATGCCCACCCTATCTAACCTGGTAGGATAGCAATAGTCTTTAGACTTATATACTGCTTCACAGAGCTTTACGGCATTCTTTGACTGGTTTATAGTGTCAGAATATTTTTCCCAACAATATGGCTCCTCATTTTACAGACCTTGGAAGGATGGAAGGCTGAATCAACCTTGAGGCTTGTCTGGATCGAACTCCAGGCTGTGGGCAAAGTTTGCCTGTATATTCTAACCGTTGTGCCACCATCTCACCAGGGATGGATAGATGTCCTTAGGGAAAGGCTGTCCTACAGATAACATGGTTTCGTGTCATATAGGACTTTAAAGTCTCTAATTGTATCTAGAAAGAAACTAGAACCCAGTGCAGCTTATGTAGCAGAGGTGATACAATTTTGTATCATCATTGTTACTACAAAGATTAATTCAAAGAGAATATGCTGCTCCCTCTTTCCTAGGTCCTCAGAAAGTTTGCAGCAATGAAGAACTGATGATTCTAGTTGATAGAAACAAAGAAGTTACATTGATCGCAATGTTATTGCTTAATTGGTAGCCAAATTAGTACCTGTGTATGGACCTACCTTTATAATAGTACACAAGATAGGAAAGAAGGAAGAGTATGCTTCATGCATGCTGCCCAAAAGGTTACTCATTGGCAAGTCTAAAAATAGAACAAAGGTGGGGAAAATGCAATAACCAGTACATCTCACTTGGACTCAGTGAATGAGTCACTAGAATGGGTCAGTTGGAAGAAAAGGAAAAGAGATTATTAATCAGGTAAAATATAGTAAGATGAAATACAAAGCAGCAACCAGCCATTGGTGGGCCTGGGTATACTGGGCATTGGAGCTGGGATGTTGTTAGATTGGAATAGAAGAACAACTACTCAGAATGGGCTTGAGATGGCTCAGGACTTTTGAAAATGAATGCCAATTTTGAAGATGAATGTCAACTATTTATTTATCATTAAATTTATACCTTTACACCGCTGTATGTCTTCATTATCTCTATTCCAAAAGACTGGGCTAATTTCAAACTGATCTACTACCCTTTCTCTTCATTTTACCATTTATGTTCTTTCTTTCATCTAACTCATCCTTTTCATCATTTATTCCTTTCTGATTCCAAGTCACATCTTCTGGCCATCATTAAATGGGATCACAAATATTAAGCCTAATACTCACCTTAGCTTTGGTCAATTAAGGGCTTCTCACAATGCTTTTTTTGTTTTTGTTTTTACTAAAGTATGAACTAAATCAGGGATTTTCAAAGATCTCTCAGCCCATGGAAACTATTTGTTAGAATTAGGGTTTCAGCCTTGCCCACTTTAAGATGTGTGGACTTTAACTGATCTAGAACAGTGTTTCTCAACCTTGGCAATGTGTTTGGACCAACTCCCAGAATTCCTAGGGTGGCTGGCTAGGGAATTCTGGGATTTTAAGTTCACATATCTTAAAACTTCCAAGGTTCAGAAACACTGCTCCAGAAACTGCCTTTCAAGATGTGTCTTATTGTACCTCACCAGCTCAGAAGTACATATAGGTGCTAGCCACCCACTCAGGATACTTTTATTAGATTATTACTGGGATTATTACTGGGATTATTACTCTGGTCAAATAGTATTTTGTTTTGAATCTAATTTTGGCCATCAACCTTCTCTTCACCTTCTGGGCAAGGACGTGCTGCGGTCGGCTGAGCTCGCCCGTTTCCAACTCCTTGCCAGGATGAGCCTTAATTGCTTCGTCTCAATTTCTCTCAGCCGATCGCAATTTTGCTGCCTTCAGGACGGGCTGAGGAGAAGGCGGCAGGCGGGCCAAAAGAAGCCTCCCCTGGATGGGGCTGAGGGAGCAACCTGAATTGGTTGTAATCACACCCCTAAAGAGGAGAGTCCTTAAATAGGGGAGGAGAGTTAGCGACAGCGCTGTGGGCTCTGCTCCTGGCACGCCGGGACTAGCTGCTGGGAGCTCCCGCAATCGCAGCCTCCGTCTTCAACGGCGAGCTGAACCGTTCTCCCCTCCTCGCCTTTTTTTTTACAGCCCCCCACCCCCCACCCCAAAGTCGGCCGCCTGCGCCCATCCCGCCAAGAGGCGCGCGCCATGGACCCCCCGCGGGCAGCGCCGCTCGCGCACATTTTCAGAGGGACCTTCGTCCACTCCACCTGCACCTCGCCGATGGTCATCCTGCAAGGCCACCTGTTGGGTGTAGAAGAGAGCGGGAAGGTGAGCTTGGGAAAGGGGCGAAAGGAGGGAAGGGCAGCACGAGGGCTCCCGACTCGCTGCCGCTGCTTTTTCTGGCACGGCGGGGGGATGGGGAGGGGGCGAAAGCATGAGCTCGGCGCGGCGAGGGTTCCCGCGTGCCGCGCCCGGGCGGAGGTGAAGGGCTGCGAAGGGGAAAAGGCGATCGAGGTTGGGACCGAGGGAGAAGTTTGCGGGCAGGGTGTGTGTGTGTGTGGAAGTGATATTTTTTACTCGTTTCCCCCCTACCCCGCCTACCCCGCTGGTTGGCATGAAAACCTCGGCGGTTGTAGAAACCCCGAGATAGAAGAAAAAGAAGAAGAAGAAAGAGTGGGAGGAGGAGGAGGAGGAGGAGGCGGCGGAAAGGCGGGTGGTTGTAGTGATTCACATAACTTATGTAACAACTGTGAAGAAGGGAAAAAAAGTGAAATTGGGTTTAATCCAATCCATTTTCCAAGCAGGGAGAGCTAGTTTTCGGGCTCCTCAGAATCGCTGTAAATGATCGGAACGGAACAGAAATAGGGATGAGAAGATGGAGAGATGTTATTGACAGAAAGCTGGTGGTCTCCAATACATGAAAAATTTCTTCCCGCCTGTAAATGGCAGTTTAGCAAGCTGCGCAAATTATGCCAACTATAAAGAAGACCTGATAGAGATATCCCATCACAATACTCTGCCCTTCCCCCCCCCTTTTTTTGTTTGTTTGTTTGAAAGGGTCACACCGAGTGTTTTCAGTGCTGGCCATTATCAAGCAGGGCAAGAAAACACGATAGAAATAAATAATAAATGCTGCTGTTCTCGGGGCCGGTCCTTTATCTGTCAACATAGAAGAGAAATTCTGCGCTTATGAATATATTTAACAGGAATTAATTTATATTCGGTCAGGTTAAAAAATCACCTGCGCTCATTTCCTAGAAAACATCATGATGGGTTTGTATATGGGGAGGAATAAGTTAGTATGGGGAGTGTTGAGAACTTGCATCATTTGCACTGGAAAATAAAGAACTATAAAAATGTTGAGACTATTGGAAAATAAATGACTAGATATTTCAGGACAGTGCTCAGTGCTGATCCTCTTGTTCAGATCACCAGATTGCTCTAATCTAAGATATTACATTAACATCATGTTTAATATTACCTTATAGTATGAAATCCTGAAGAAAGTGTTTCAGGTGCATTTCCCCCCACTATTTCACCTATTCCCATTTTTTGGTTCAAAATCAGCAAAGTCAAATATTTGTTTAACTATTAGATAAGCAGTATCAAACAAAGCTTCCAAGCTTTGATACTTTAGCCATCTGGCTCTATATATCATTAGATGCCAACAACTCTAGTCTAATTAGATACTCATTTAACAAGAAGTGTAATTATATGTTCCATATTCATTGTGGTATATAGTTAAAAGCTTAATGAAGCATATTATTGTGCAAGATCATACACTTTCAAATATGTGTATGTGTATAGAGAACAGATGATTGCAGTGACTAATATATGAATGTGTTTGGCATGGCAACCACATCTACTTGGTGGCCCTTGATTTTGCAGATCATTTAATTTAACTCCTTCCATTTTTGCTGTAGTACCACATATTTCCTTTGCTCTCTGTGCCTCTTGCAATAGTTACTTTATGATGTGGCACTTTTTCTCATAAAATAAGAAGCAGTCATGCAGTTAGATTACAGTATACAGCTTATATCAGCTAGGCTCTGATAAAGGTGCCAAGGTCCCATTCAATAATGGTTTGGATTGGAGTGGCCCATTTTGAGAAATAGCAAGAGGTATGAAGGAGAAATAGCAAGAGGTATAAAGGATGAATTGGTGCCTTACCTTTTTGCAATGGTTTAGGCAACTGTTTTGTCCTATGATATTCCTTCCATCCCGTAAGAGCCAACACTGATTCCAAATTTTGGCTCTACCAATATTGTGGTGGCCACAGAAGGGAAATTGCTAGGCTATTTTTGTACTCTACCACGGGGGTCTCTAACCTTGGCAACTTTTAGACTTGTGGACTTCAACTCCAGTGGTGGAATTCAATTTTTTTTACTATTGGTTCTATGGGTGTGGCTTATTTGGTGGGCGTGGCTTGTGGTTATGTGACTGGGTGGGTGTGACTTAGTGGTCATGTGACTGGGTGGGCATGGCCAACTCAATGTAACTCACATCAAGGGGTGCCTCACCTGGCCCCTCCCCTCCCAGCCATTCCTTGTCACCCAGCCTCAACTTATCTATAGTTCTGTGAAAATGTTGTTCACCTTTTTTGACTTTATTATCTGCATACTATAGATGTACTTTCATGGACCACTGAAAGGAGGAAATGGCTCACATGCTTTACTCAAGAGTGTGATAGGCTTTTAAGGGGCTGCCACAAAGAAAGGGGGACAATGTGTTTCCAAAGAAGCAGAATGCAAACAAGAAGCAATGGATGGAAACTGAACAGAGAGAAGCAACCTAAAACTAAGGAGAAACTTCCCCACAGTGAGAACAATTAACCAGTGGAACTGCCTGTCTCCAGAAGTTCTGGGTGCTCAATCACTGGGAGTTTTTAAGAAAAGACTGGACAGCCATTTCTCTGAAATGGTACAGGGTTCCCCCCAAGGTCCCTTCTAAGTATTATTCTGACACCTTTCCCAGGACCTCTACTCAGAGTTGGCATCCTCAGTTTTCTTGTCTGAGCTGGGGGTTGGACTAGAAGACCTCCAAAGTCCCTTTCAACCCTTGTTAAACACATGTGTATTTTATGCTCTGGACTATTGACATTGAATGCATGGAAACCCTGAAAAATATGTGGTAGTCCTGGGCAAAAGAAACGCAGAAAAATCACTCTAGGTGTAGGGACAGTGTAAAACATTAGCACATGGTAAATAATGGAACAATTAAAAATAATAGTAGTTAATAGTTCACCCCAAGGTCCCTTCTAAGTGTTTTATCTCTCTCTCCCTATTTTCTCTCCCTCCCCCCCCTCTCTCTCTCACACACACACACACAAACACACACAGAGTACTTAACAGACAAGCATTTTGGAAGCAGCTCCTTTAAATTTCTCCAAGGCTTGAGTGGATTCTTTTACATTGCGAAAGTGCTCCAAGGCTGATTCACCCCACCCCCTCCATCAGACTGCACTCCTTCTCACTCCAGCACTTTAACTCACAAGGGGAAACAAGGCGATACTTGCAGCATCCATGGGGAATCCTTGGAGAAGTTTTTAAAAGACCTGCTTCCAAAATGCATTTCTTTTACATTGCAAAAGTGCTCCAAGGCTCGATTCACCCCCACCCCCTCTGTCAGACTGCACTCTTTCTCACTCCAGGCACTTTACTCCCACGGGGAAAGTGATACTTGCAGCGTTCATGACTTTCTTCCTTTTCCCTGGGGAAAGGAAAGCTAGAAGAGTGATCGCAAGTGAGCGACAGGGTGACCGGGTTGGGGGTGAGGCCAGCCAGGGATTGCCACCAGTTCGGTGACCCATGCCAAATAACCGCTACCGGTTCACCCGAATAGGTGCGAACCGGTCGAATGACACCTCTGTTCAACTTCCAGCCGTCTTCTTGCTTCTTCTAACAATCTTCTGGTTATGTCAGTCAATGTCAGTTTATCTCTGGGCAGGACTTCCAGTGAAGATACATAATCATCATAACTTTCATCCAGTGAGGAAAGAATGATGTAAACTTGATGCAGCTCTGAAAATATCAGTTCTTTTTCATGTAGCTCTTGAAAAGTTCTTTTCATGAAGTTTAAATGAGCTAACATATCTCCACCTTTCAGAAGATGTGCACTAAACAGTTTATGTGTAAGATGTATGTGTGCACCTACACTGTCACGAACATAAATCCTCTTCAAATTCTCCCAACACCTAGAAGCAGACTCTTCTCCACGAATATGGACTAGCTGCTGGGGTCACTCAGTGTTAGTCCAATTATACAAAGAGCTCGTTCGTTGTTCTGGTTAAAGTGAGCAAGCTTCTTGGCATCATCCTCATTTTCTGGATCCCCAGCATTTACATCTGGTGGGTCTTGAACTACATTCCATAAACCTTCTCTATGCAGAAGTAGACTGCACTTCATAGACCAGGAAACATAAGTTTGTTCCATCCAACCGAGTTATCAGTGATAGACTTGTTGAAATGACTTGTGCCATCTTTATCAGGATAGTAAACCACAATTAAACAGTAAACAGCTGTCTGTATACAGTACTGTGCATTCACACTAACTCTCAGTTATCTGAGCCTGGTATGGTCTGGGCCCATAACCAGTGTTGAGGTAATTCCCCATTAGGAGAATGAGTGCATACAGGGAGTCGTATTTGAGAGAAGTGTTTGAATAATACATACACAGTACGCAGGTACACTGTACAGTAAATGTAGGTTTTTACTTCCAGAAAGTTTAAGCAAAGTTCAAGATAAGCAGTCCAAAAGTCATTTACAGGTAAATCAGTCAGTTTTTCAATCCAGAGATAATCCAAATATCAAAGTCCAGTGTCAAAAAATAGTTCAGTAACAAACTTACATCAAATCCAGGAATATCAGTCAATTAGAAGAAATGGAGAAACGGCAATACTTTCCAACAGAAGGAAACAAGAGAGTCTCACACAGACACACTCTCTTCTGAGACTAAGACTAAGACAATCCAGGTTTCTGGCTCCATTTTATGGCTGTTTGAAAAACCACACCCAATTGCAGTTTTTGCAATCTCTTAAAGACATAGTACTAAAATGTTTATCCTGGTTTATATATTTCTAACCCAAATACCTGTTAGGTGACTTATATTCCTAACAATACCCTCAACCAGCTTTGCTGGGAGTTGAAGTCCACAAGTCTTAAAGTTGCCAAGGTTGGAGGCCTCTGCTCTAGCAGATGGTTTTGGTTAGCAGTTGTATTCTTTTAGTATACTTGAAACTTTTTGACCAATTTTCTTCTATTGAAGACAGAGCTATGTTTTCTTTTATTGAAGACGGATTCAACAGAACATCTTAAACAACTTACTGCTTTC